CAGGGGCGTCGATGTGGGATGGACTTCAGTGGCACGTCAAGGAGCGGGTCGTAGCGCTGGGAGAGAGGGGCGGCGGCGCAGCTTTGGCCTCCATGCATCATTGTGCTGGACAACAGTGATTTCACCAAGGAGAAACGGTGGCCTCGCCACCTCGATTGCGGAGCGCTCATCCGGCGACATCTCGTTGGTGGGGAGGCAGTGGCAGCAACAAGACGCCCTGGCTGCCGAGACTTGTCGGAGTCGTGGGGGTCAAAGGAGAAGGGGGATGGAGCGGCGCCGCTAGGAAAGGGAGAAAAGCGGCACGGAAGGTGGGAAGAAAGGAAGCTAGTGACTGGCTTGGAGCTAGAAGACAAATGCATTCACCAACGGGCTAGACACTTACAGGTTGAGCCCACCCGCTGCACACAACCCCGATCAACCAGGAGCCCTCCCTTAAAGGGAGCTTAGAGTTTGAAGAGATTGGAATCTCTAAACAGACTTATATTTAGGAATGGAGGGAGTACCTTTCAAAAACACCCCTTGATTTTCACTAATGATGTGTGGAGCACTGAGGCCAATCTGCTGGCGAGGACTTTTTGGAGACTAATTTAACAAGGCTGCGAACGAGACTGGTGGGACGATAATCATTAGGACTGCAAGCCCCCTGCCTCTTAGGTAACAACACCAAACACCCAGATGTTGACTTGTTGAGTGAATGAATCGCGTCGAACACATCTATCAGATCTTAATTAATTATCTGCCAACAGCTAAGGTAGAAAGCTATGTTAAAACCATCCGGGTCCAGGCGCTTTTTCCTTCGGCATATCCTCTTCAGTATTTCTTGACACCAAACAGTAACAAGTTACCAAGAGCAAAAGATCAGCAAAACAATCATTACTCCTCAATGCCGCAAATGAAGAACAAGAACAAGATATGGATTCCTTTCTAACACATGTTAAGAGGAGCAAGCAAGAAATAACGATTTACTAGTGAAGAGTTTAAAACTTCAAATTCCCAAGGATGTACCAAGCTGGAATTTTTCATAAAGCAGCTATACTATGGTAACCCAAGCCGTGTTGTCATCTGCGAAATCACACGTAGCAGTAGTTGGCAACAAAAATTACTACAGCACAGCATGGATAAATATCTCGTCATTCTGAGGTTAAACTGTGGTCAGCATATATATGCAAAACTAGTGCAAACAGAGGAACAAAATGCCAAAACTTCTCTGAATTTGCTATGCATGGAAGTACATGGACTGGACCTATGGGTGAGTACACAGCTACCATACCTTAAGTTCCCAGTTAGGTTGACGGTACACATTAGCTTGGGCCTTAAGACAATTAGACACATATGATCTTCAATTCATTACTTAGTTTCAATTATCAGGCCTCTATATGAAGAATCAAAGAGGACCCTCTATGAGATATTAATCAAGTAGAAATAAACCAAAGAAGACATCTAACAGTCATTCCTCTTCACATTCCTACATATGGACGTCGTAGTTCTCTTGACAACAACTAAAATTATCTTGAATCCATTTGCTCAAACAAAATACAGGAAGGACGAGACGTGGGTTGATTTAGTCTATTGTTAAGATTTGAATATTCAAAATAGACAGAAAATAGAAGGGGCTATTACAGGGCCAAAGCAGAATGCACACCTGGGAATGAAGATGCAGAGAATGGTGATGTAAGGGCCACAAAGCTTGTGTTCAGAGAGCTCTATGGCCATCTTGAAGTGCCCGTTGCAGTTCCTGAAGAAGGTACTACGGTGCTGTTCGACAGATCTCCACGATCACAGGCATTTGGATTATTACAGGGCCAAAGAAGAACGTTAGCCATCAACGCTGGTCACTGCTGTCACAACCTCTCAGAGATGTTACTCACAGCTGTTGCCATTGGACATTGCTATCTCTCCAAGGATTTACTGGAATGGTTGGAGGCCAAGTTATAATCTGAATATGAACCTCAAAAGTCAAGTTCTTGGTCATCAGGATTCTGAATTTCTACATAAGTCATTTGTGTAGCCTTTTGGACAGCACCGATAAAAACATTTCTCAAAGACATCAATCCAGGGAGAAACAAATGAACATTTGTACGATTTGCAGGGCATCCAAATGCCACTAGCTGCTCAACAAAATATCCTCCAACTTTTGAGGATAAGATACATTGCCTGTGCATAACTTATCAACAAGTATAGCAGAAGCCAAACTGCCTAATTCATATCCAGCTTTAAGCATTGTATTCAGAATCAGCAGTGCGTCATCCATTCGCTCGGATTTCCTCAGCGACTCCAGCAAAGAATTGAACGTCTGTTCCTGAGGTTTCAGATTGTTCTTCAACATGCTAGCCAACCATGCCATACCATCATCAGCCCGCCTGACCTTACAGAACCCATTGATGACACTATCATTGCTACGTTCCAACGGTTCCAAGCCCTTAGCCTGCATCAAGGCAAGTAATTCAACAGCATCATCAACCTGTCCTTCCTCGCACAAGGTGTCAATGAGTGGTGTGAAGGTCTGCACACTTGGCTCCAAACCAGATGAGAGTAACCGCTGATACATCCCTATCGCCTCAGCCAACCTACCAACCTTGCATAGGCCCTGAATCAACGTGTTATAAGTGATCACATCATGTTCAATCCCTTTAGTAACCATTCCCTCGAACACCCCAACTGCTTCGTCCACCCTCCTATGAACACAAAACCCTTTGGCGATAATGTTACAGCTAACCGTGCTCTCCTTGAATCCCTTGTCAAGCATTTCTTCATACACCTTGAGAGCCATCCCAAAATCACCAGCTTCACAGTAGTAATCGAGAAAAGAGCAATATGCATACTCACTAGGCTGTATACCTTTGTCCACCATCTCATCCCACATCTGCTGGGCATCGGCAATATGGCCCATTTTACATAAACCGGTGAGCGCTGTGTTGTAAGTGACTACATCTATGGCATAACCACGCAGCTTGATCTCGCTGAAGACACGAAGGGCCTCGCCGCCCATCCCATGCGCAAAGAGCCCATGTATGACACGCCGGTAGACAAACGTAGCTGGAGGACATCCCGCAGAGATCATGAGGTGGAGCGTCTCAGACACCTTTGCGAAGTTGCCGATGGCCACAAAGGACGTGACAAGGTCGGCGGCAGCAGCAGACGAGGGAGGGGAGCCACGTCGTGCAACATCCCGAAGGAGGCGGAGGCCGTCGAGCGGGCGGCAGTCGGCTGCACAGGCGCGCACGAGGCAGGCGACGGTGTCCGCGTTGCCTGGGAAGGCAGGGGAGGAGGAGAAGGTGGAAAAGAGGCGGAAGACGAGGTCGGGGCGCGCGGCCCGGAGAGCGGCACGGGATGCCGCGTTGAGTGCGGGCAGGGAGGAGTGGAGGCCGAGGTGGGAGGCTAGCAGCGCGGCGGCATCGGCGGCGAGATGTGGCTGGAGGCTGAGGAGGAAGGCGTCGATCCCGGGGAGGTGAGGCGAAGGGGCAGGGGAGTCAGCGGGGGCAGGGGCGGGGAAGTGAGAGGCGAGGAAGAGGAGAAAACGGAGCGAGGGCTCAGGGGAGGGGAGGAGACGGGAGAGGGTTCGGCGGACGCAGCTCGGCTCGAAGAGCAGTTGGCGTGGGACGAGCGACAGGAGGCGGGGCTCGAAGCGCGGGGCGCGGAGCACGGCGGCTGCCGCGCGGGAGGCGGCGTCAGAGACGGCGGTCGGTACCGGGGCGAGCTCGGAGGCGGAGCCGGAGCAGATGTGTCTGACGGAGGCGAAGAGGCGCGGAAGCGGGGGCATGGTGGTGATCCGCGGCGAGCGGCGGCGGCGGCGGCGACGGGGGGAGAATGTGATGCTGTCGCGAGCCGCACGGGGACCGGGGGGTGGTCAGATTTGATGGCGGTGCGGCTCGCGAGGTTTTGACTTGGATTGGCCCTACGGCCCATGGGCCATGAGGCCCGCGTGTGCTTCAAGTCAGCCATTCTCTCTCTCTCGCCTTTAGTAAATAAAGTTATTATCCAAGCCTCACAGAAACCCTAACTAAACGAGGGCGACGCGTCCATGGCCAGGTACCGCAGCCGCAGCCGAAGCCGCAGCTACAGCCCACGCAGGCGGTACAGCCGCAGTCCTCCCCGCTACAGGCACTACGACGACCCGCGTGACCGCTACCGCGGCGGCGGCGGCGGCGGGCCCCGCCGCGGGTACGACCGACCGTCGGCGCCCACCGGCCTCCTGGTCCGCAACATTTCACTCACCGCCAGGTGCCTTCCCCTTCCCCTTCCCCCTCCCCCTCCCACCCTCCCAGCCGTAACTCTGGGGAGAAGAAGTATGTCTTTGAATCTGTATATCATTACATAATTACTGCGTGCAAGTACATCATATCCATGATTTGGTTTGGTTGTTGGTTCTAGTCAGTCTTATGTATTACTCCCTCCGTTCCAAAATAGATGACCCTACTTTGTACTAACTTTATCCCTCTGTTTCAAAATAGATGATCCAACTTTGTACTAAAGTTAGTACAAAGTTGAGTCATCTATTTTGAAAATAGATGATCCAACTTTGTACTAAAGTTAGTACAAAGTTGAGTCATCTATTTTGAAATGGAGGGAATACTTGATTAATTCTATGCATGCTTGTTTTCAGAGCGTGACTGTGGTACATATGGGATGATGTGTTGCTTGGTTTATATAGTACATGTCCTTGATGAGGGTAATGTACATCATATTGGGAAGTCATCAATGTCGCCATCACTTGTTCAAACACTTGGCACAGCATTATAGTACATGTCCTTCATGACGGTAATGTACGTTGCTGGGACTTTGTGTTTCTCCAAGGCCCACCACATGACATTCCGTGGTATCTTATCATAGGCCTTCTCCAAGTCAATGAACACTATATTTCTCCATAAGTTGTCGTACCAAGAAAATGGCTTCCATGGTTGACCTCACAGGCATGAAACCAAATCGATTTTTGGTCATGCTTGTCATTATTCTTAAGTGGTGCTCAATGACTTTTTCCCATCTACAAGGGGGATGTTCATAGTTGTACTAATTACCGTGGAATTAAGCTAATGGGCCATACAATGAAGCTATGGGAGAGAGTCATTGAGCACCACTTAAGAAGAATGACAAGTGTGACCAAAACATTAATTCCACGTTAAAAATCAAGAATCCTGGGGCTTTTGATCAGATGGTGGGGAATATAGATGAGACGTAATTAATTCTCATCTAGATGAGAATTAGCAAATCCATGTTCTAATATCATCATTACTGATTTATGAACTATTGTTGCTTATGTGTCCGAGATCAATTAGATTTGAACTTTGGATATTTTCATGTGGATGTGACCTTTCACAGTTGAGATCTTATGGCTTGAAGAGCCAAGATCATTTTTTACATTATAACTGCCCCCATTTGCATAAATAGCTAAATGTATTAAAAACAGGAATAGACACAATACTAAATTATTATTTTTGTGTGTGTTTTGGGATGGCCATCATAAATTGTTTTCACCTTTTGCTACTGCCCCAGTCAAAGCTTATGAGTAGTCTGTAATTGTCATTTGTATATACAATGCACTACAGATGTATGGTGATTTCTGTCTTCTTCTGTGTGTGGATGAATTGCACCTTAGCTAACCGATTATGTTCCGCTGCCTTTGTTTTTTCCATCTTTTGCAGGCTAGAAGACATTCGTGGTCCATTCGAGCAATTTGGCCCTATAAAGGATGTGTACCTTCCGAGAAATTTCCACACAAAGTAATTTTTATGCTTATATTACATTTGAAGATCAGTTCATGTCATACACATAGTCATGATTGATTATTGAACAGCATGAAAGAAGTATATGAATTAAGTGAGATGCTGAATAATTTGTGTAATGCAACTGATATGTTATGCAGCTTGATTGATAAACTGTGAACGGCAATCCTAGATTTCGTACTGCTGTTATTCATGTGAATACAATGGATGGCGCAATCTCAATGGACTTGAGTTTTCCAAAGAAATAATATTTTTAGCAAACCCTTTGTGATGTCATGGCATAGCATATTGTGATTAACCCTCTAATTACATTCATTTGCATAAGCTGCCAGTTAATTTGCTGAATTTAACCAAATTAGGATTATTTAATAGTTATTCTCAACAGCAGTGTTGGTGAGCACTTGTTGCATATTCTCTTTCACTGGCAAATAATGTCTTCTGTATTTAGTCTTAACAAATTGCATTTGTCAATGTTATTGGAATGAGAACAAACTGTTGCTATAAATTTATTTTAGCTGTTGATTTTTTGTTGTTGAATAACAAGTAGTTTATTGCATTCGTAAAATTGGTATATATTTTCCAGGAAGTGTTTTTTGTTGTTGTTGAATAACAAGTAGTTTCTTGATCATTGGTCAAATTGATATATATTTCCAGGGAATTACGTGGTTTTGGGTTTGTGAAATTCCACCACCCTGAGGACGCTGCATATGCTAAGCAAGAAATGAATCATCAAGTTATTTGCGGTCGAGAGATTACAATAGTTTTTGCCGAGGAGAATAGAAAAACCCCACAAGAAATGCGCTTCAGAACAAGATCAAGGTACACACGTACTGTTTTTTACTTAGGCATTAGGTAGGGTAGTAAATATCAAATCTGAAATAACCAAAGGATATATTTTTGCCTCTGCTGATATAGTGGTAGGCATATGGATGGAAACTACAGAAGAAGGCAGTCGCTGTCAAGATCCCCAAGGTCTCGTTACCCCTGTAAGTATAAAGCAGTTCATTTAATTCATATCTTATAGCCTTTCATCTGATTTTTAAATATTATCTCTTTACTCACAGCTTATTCACCTGAACCTTCTCCAGTTAGACGGCACTCCAGGTTTGATCTGGATGCTCTTCTAAATATAGATATGATTAACATGTTAACTTTCTTCAGTTTGATTTATACTGCACTGGCTACAGTATTCCAGAACTCTAATATTTGTGTAGAGCTAGCTTTGTTTATTATAAAGAATATGTTCACCATCAGCCCTGCCCTGCTGAGACAAGATGGAAGGGAAGTATATATGAAACAAATGCAATCTACTTCACCTTGTCTTGAATTTTGTTGGTGAACGTTGTTAAACCTTTCACTGGTATTGTGATTATTATAGCCTCTTTAACTTAAGATTAAGGCTGCGTTTGGCAATTTGCATTGAGGTGGAATATGATAATCCATCTTTTCAACCAGCTTTTGTCTGTTTTTCCGTTTGGCTACCTGACTTGCCCCTGCTTTCGTGCCTATTTTTCACAGCAGATCATAAATTAAGTTCAGCGCTGAGCTTATCTATAACAGCTTATAAAGTAAATTATAATCTCCTAAACATACCTATTGCATCCCCCACCCCCATCCACCCTGTCAATGATCTAGAAATGCAATCAGGTAAAATGGATAATGGTCCGTTCTTTTTAAACTTTCTCTGGTTCATTAACCAACAAGTTGTTATTTCATCATCGAAACGTAAATCAGCTTCCAAAATTCTTGTTTAAAGTGTTCTATCCTCGAAATTTTCATCTTGAATTGATTGCTAAATATCCTAGCTTATATGGTTGGTTATTTTCATTTTGGTTTTCATTAGCTCGTTAGTCAGTCTAGGACGAAAGTAACTTCCAAGAGGATTACTATTAATGATTGTGCATCTTATGTGGATTTTTATGAATCCATTTTTAGCTTGTAAATCATAGTAAAGATAACAAGAAAATGAGCAAAGGAACTTTCCTGCTCATTTGTATGCTCGTGCCAAGCCCTGCACATCCTTGATTAATCTCTAACATTAGCAACATGGTTTTTGTCGACTGTTTGGTGATTGTTGATTAATTTGTATTATCTATTTTCTGTTATTGAAGTAAGGCTATTAAATTGTGCTCTGAAATATGTTGCCTTGGTTTTGTATATTATCCAGTCATCAAAGAATGTAGAGTCTAAATGCCCAAAAGATAATCATGATGTTTGGCGAATAAAGACCAAAGTGGCAGTATTATGACCTCCAGAGTTGGAGCATGTGAAAGCTATACAGTTAAAGATAAAGTGGTACTAGCACTCAAGAGTGTAGAGATAATCTTGGCTAAGAAACCTGAGGAAAACAGTTATTTTTCAAGTGAGCTGATGCTGTTGAGCTAGCAGTCGCAACACCTTAGTGCATTGCACGTTATATTTGGGGATCAAAGTGGGTAACCAATTTTGTGATGGAGCAGGTAACATTGATATCTCACTTTTCAGTTCACTTGGCTTGGCAATAGGTATGACCAGCCAGTGGTGATGTTGCCATGCTGCATTAGCTGTTGTAGACAAGTTTGCAGTTCTCTAATTTAGTTTGCACATGGTGATACTTTCTTGTTCTTGTACTTGTCAGTTACCATATGTTTTTTTGGTGTGTTGCTCCTTGCATACTGTCAATGTATTTGGTACGAAGGTCAAATCTTTGATTGTTTGCAGGGACAGAGATAATTATTCTCCTAGGGGTTCATACTCTCCACATACTCGGGACAAGAGGCAGCACATATCAGATGGTCGATCGCCTAGCCTAGATGGACATGAACATAGGATATCACCATCCAGTAATGGACATGGTCCACCAGTTGACAGGAAGAGCCCAACCTGATCTCGCTGGCTCCTAAAGGTTCACTCCGTCGATTTTCCTCTTATTAATTCTCTTCTACTGTAATTAACTAATTATATGTTGATGTGTCGTTTCCTTCATACGCAGGCTGAGATGAATTTCAGTTCTACAATCCATGATTGGGTGGTGAGAGCAGAGAACAATGCCTTCTTTCCT